AAGACAGTGATGCAAAGAAAAAAAAAAAAAATTTGAATGAATTCGTGGAATTCCTTCTTTAGCTACAACGTTGAGAAACAGGATTTAAGATGATTATGAAAAATTACGTTATCCGTGGTTCTTAATGGATTATTACTCGTCGTATGATTATCCACGGTACGCTTACTTTAAAGACCATTTGTAAGTGCAATCTTGAACATTCGATTTCGTTTCATTTCGTTTCGTTGTCACGTGGACCAAAATTTTACGCGTGAATTGAATATTTTGACGCGCGCGTCTTCGATTGAAAAACAATGAGACTATATAAGACACGAAAAAATTATCTCACCATGATAACATGATGGCTAACCTATTTTCTCGTTGACGCTTAATGTTTACCTTCATGATAAACGATCGTTTATGGTTGAAGAAACGTTAAGCCTCGTTCAGATTAATTCAAATAACTTGAAATTGCTTTGTTTATTTGACCATTATTTACTCGATCTGAAATGTCCTTTCGAATTTCTGCTCTTATCTTTATTAACCAAGTCAACTGAATTCAAAATAATAATAATTCAATAAAACGTTTTATTCTCGGAAAAAAAAAAAAGAATTGCATGGTTATGTAATATTATGTTCAATTTCGTGTTCGTGGTTTTTTAAGCCAAGTCGATAGTTCTTTAATTTTATTGACAGTCTCATACTTCGCACACACGCATAATATATTTACCGCGTTCATAATTATATTCATAATTATACAATATTATTATATAATTATATATATACATAAATTAATATTATTATATAATTATATATTCATAAAAATATCAAGGTAAAGAGGAAACGAAGAACTTTAATTTCATTTTAACTTCTGATCTTATCTCATGTAATCACATATCTGATGGATATGGAACATTGATAGACAGATAAAAACTAAGTTAATATAAATCAGTAAGTAATATAATTGAAGATGAACGAAAATTAGTCGTGCAAATGTACTCGAGTTGTACTGTATTAAGCGATTGAAATACATAAATTTTTATGAAATATAAACTTGTTATTGCAGATAAACGTGGAACTGAAATAGTTTGCGTAATGACAATCGTTAATTCAATAGAAAATTCAGCAAACTATGATAACACTGAAATGTTAATTTTGATTGAATGTTGTCAGTATAATTACCCTTGAATAGAAATGTAGCCCAATTATCAGTAAAATTGTACGTAACAAATTACAAGTTACTAGCATTACCAAATACCCTTACATAGCATTTTTACTTTTGCCTTAAAAGTGAATTTTACAAATTACAAGTTCAGTTGATTTGGTGAAACTTCATTTGACATGAGAGTTTTAATTTACTAATATCATTATAAAAGAGGACTACCATAATATAGCAGTTCACGAAAGTAACTGACGTATATTTTCATTGCATGTTACGCAATGAAAAAACATGCTGCAGCGAAACACGAATATCATAAATATTCTGTTCCCAAAAATTTATTTCAAACTTTACCAATGAAAATCGACTCTCATTACAGCGCAAATAAAATTTCAAAACGTTTCACAATATTAACAATATACTCATAAAATGTCCCTGCAAGTGTTCGAAAATTTTCAGTATACTTCCAATGAAAATTGATATCGTTCGATGGACGTCTCATAAATATCCATTTCAAATCATCCGATCGGAACTCGAGCAGTTTGCATTCAAGTAATTCGAGTAACATGAACGAAGCTTCGTTCAGCGATTCGTGGCTGAAGAAACCATGTATGAGCCGAGCCGAGCCGAACCGAGCCGAGCCGAGTGAAAACGAGCGAAATCGTGCGAATACAGTAGCTACGACGTCGTTCGACATGTCGCACGTTAAGGTCACGTTCATTGCAAGTACTCGCGGAACACGTTAATTTAAACGTGTGGCACGCGCCGCGCCGTTTCGTTTCGCCAAGTTCATTGCTAAGGCCGTCCCTCGCTTGAATCTCGATCGTGCATCTTCGCCCGCGATCTCGCGTTTCGCGTTTAACCTCTTGCGCCAAGTAACTGGTGCGCGGACCATAACGAGTGACCAAACCGTGTACAACTCTCGTCTCCTTTTCGACTTCATCGGTACACACCACTGGATAGAAATTACTAAGACGTAACAGATTTATTATCTGTTTTGCCTGAGTTATGCCTAACCCTACAAAACTGAGAAAATATTGCAATATTGCAAGAGGTTAATTCGACGAGTTGCAGCCAACGAGGCGGCAGCGTTCGTCTTCCATGATGAATCAGTTGGCGCGCATGCGCGAGCAATACCGACTAGCAGACGATTAAGGATCTATTTCCGGTCGGCGAAAGCCCTCCGCGGTCTTCCCACGTGTTCCTCGGGAACGAAAGAATCGCGACTAATTTCGTCGATAGTCACGCGACGCGATCGCGCGCCTCGATCATCGGATCGTTCTCTGGCCGCGAGTCACAAAAGGTGACGAAACGGTGAGAAAAACACAGAGAGTTGTTCGTTTCAATGGCCGGTAGTGGCGAGTCATCCGGTTATGCAACATCTTTCGCGTGAAAATGGTTCCGCGCGGTGGATGCACAGCGGTCTCAGACGTGGCATTTCGTCGCCAGAATTAACGACATATTTATATCGGCATTCCTTTCTCGCGAGGGCCGATAATAATGTATGATTTGCACTGATCGTCACGAACGTTTGTCTTTGGATGTCGAAAGCACGTAAATTCTCTCAACTGTATTTCTCGCCAATGGACAAAAAAAAAAAAAAAATGTACGGAGTACACGTAGTATGCGAAAATGTACAAAATATTTGACGCATGCTTTTTTGTAAACAGGGATATAATTTCCTCACCTGGATATCACAATTGTATTTTCTAAAATATGAATCTACTCGTGTATTTACTCATTTTTTATCCAATTTCGACACTTAAATAGCATCTTTTAGTTAATTAGTACTTTTCTTGTCCAAACACAATTGATCAGCTAAAAGATGTTGTTCGAAGGTCATAGTCGATCAGAATGAGAAATGCAATTAAGAGAGAATTTAGGAATGAACATCTTTCTCATATCATATATATCTCCTAATATTAATAAACGATTTATATGAAAAGAAGTAATTTTTTATTTTATCCAATGATAATGCAAATTGGACTGTTGCATTTTATCCATCATGCGGATAAGATTTCACGCAACGAAAATATATTCAATGCTTCCTCTAACAATAGCCACATTGTATAACCCAGAGTCTAAAAATAATAGTCATTTTCAAATTTTTTTATAAAAGTTAATTTGAATGGAAGACAATAGTTGAATCATAAAAAGATTTTTCAAAAATTGAAACTTTGAAAATGTTCTCGCAATGAATGATCGTTATAAATGATTGCAATTTCTTGGTTACCATTATACATTACTATAACTCTAAAAATTGCTGGTAATTGCTATATAATGCTGACAGTCAAAAGTAACCAAAAAAAATCTTTTATCGTTGATAAATAGAAAAATTGAGAAATGATCAGTTACAATGGTTACGTGTATTTATGTGAAAAATCATTTCAACTAAAAGTTATGAATTTGTACACCATAGTTTTAGAAATTTCATATACATGTCTAACATATCGAAACTACTCAGGTATTTATTAATTAAAATCCGCACAGAGCTAAAAGTTACAGAAAACTGTATTTAAAATTCACATGTTCTTGTGAACAACTGTGTAAACCTTCATATAAAAAAGTCCGACGTCTATCATTTTTAATTATTTTTTTATAAAACTTCTCAAGGTTTAAATTATAAAGTTTCCACTGTTTGTACATATAACACACATAAATAACTGAAATATACCCCCACTTATCTATGCAAAAATAATATTACATACAACTGTAACTCTGTAAAAATAATAAATTAGCTGTACTTGAAATTTTCTCTTCATAATTATATATGATCACAGAATCTTTTAAAACGAGAAATATACTGGGCTCTCATAACTATAAAACTACGCAGGAATTTTCAACTTTTACATGTAAAAGGGAACAAAATATACTGAAAAACAATTTATCTTTTCCTTCTCCAAGAGAATTATATTCATTGTAAAACGAAAAATGATAGTTTAATATAGTCCAACAGAATATATAAAATTCGATTCAAGATACAATAAGAAGAAGTTCAACCTTTTATCAGATTTTATTGTGCCATCGTATCGCGTGCTTCGTACCTGCATGAGAGTAAGAAATTTTTACGATAATTGTATATAGTTACAAGCAGAGCGCGAACTTCTATACGCTTGCGAAAAGATTAGCGCACAGAATGCAGATATTATAAATAACACGTGTGCTAGAGTTGGTTCTACTTTTTCAGTTACGTGTACGAAAATATAAATATTTACGAATATCCGCAATTTAGTTACGAGATGCGATGTACGTGTCTTCAAGTTCTGAAAATGCCACTTCTTAGGCCCGCTGGTATCACGCGGAACCGCAAAATGCTCGAGATTCAATCGATGCGGAAGATTAAAACGCGGAGCCGCAAAATGGAACGTCGCGCGAGGAGAGAACAAAAAAAAAAAAAAAAAAACGGGACGAGAGGACGCGTGACAGGGCACGAGGCGTGAAAGAGGAGAGAAAGGTGGAAAAAGAGCGGCGCGTTGGCCGGTTCTCGGCTCGAAATACGCGCGTCGCGTAACAGGGCTACCTTGGTGACCTTTTTCACACGTTTTAGCTTTGTAGGTGGTGTTACTTACCTCTGACACGGAGGCGGTTTCGCGTAGTTTGACTTCTCCGCGCTAGCAACGACGAGGAACGCGAGGAACGCAGCACTCGACAGGATATTCATCGAACAGCACCGCGTAGAGCTCGGGGCCATTTTCTCTTCACCGGGCGCTATTATCCTCTCAATTAACTCTCTCTTTCTCTCTTTCTTCTTTCACGATCTTTTCGATCTCTTTCCCTATAAAAGTCTTTTCTCTTTTCTCTTTCGAATCCTTCAACGTTTCTTCTTTGCTTCCTCCCCTCTTCTTTTAAGAGGCCTTGTTTCTTTTTGCCTTGCTCCGAATTTGGAACAGAGCGACGACGCTAACTCGAACAAAGTTTCTCAAGTTTTTCGCTCGACTGTCCCTTTCGAGTTAGAATATACCGTATGTAGTTTCAACATCCTGTACACTGATTCGACTCGAAAGCATTCGTTTTTTTTTTCTTTTTCTTTGTTCTTCCGTTTCTCCTTTAATGCTTCGTTCTGTCGCCTCCTTTCCCCCTTTCTCTCTCTCTCTCTCTCTCTCTCTCCCCCTCTCGCACGCTTAAAAAAGCTCTTTTTTTTCTAATATTCGCTTTTTTTTTGTGTCGGTCTTTCTATCGTTCCGTTTCCTGATACTCGTTTGCGAGTTGCGCTAGCAACGTGGAAAGGACGAGACGCGAGACGGTTACTATTTTTTTTTTTTTTTTTTTTTGGTTTTGTGTTGTTTTTCTTTTTGTTGGTTCTTACTTTTTGGTGATCGGTTGCGGCTGCGGACCTTCCGTCTGACGCAGTATGCGCGGCGGTTTCAGCTCCAGTAGCAAGGCCGCATCGTCCCTGAAACACAAGACCCAAGTATTTCCATCAGTCTCATTTCCATCAACCGGACGATTAACGATCGCGGCAAACGATTTCCTTTCCAAATTTCATCTTTCTCCACAAGCCAGAATCGGTCGAACCGGCGAACGGAAGGATTCTACTCGGAAATCGAACGAGAATCGAGAGTTCATCCACGGAAATTAACCCCTTGCGCTAGCAACTGATTGCGGACCATAACGAGTGACCAAACCGTACACAATAACTCGTCGCTTTCTTTTATTATTGAACTCGTCGGTATGATATCACTGGATAGAAATGATTAAGAAGTAAAACTTCATCATTTGTTTGGCTTGTGTTACATTTAAATATACTGAGAATATACTAAGACTGAGAAAATGTTGCAATTTGGGACTAAAAATTCTCAACGTGCGTAGAGGTTAACACCACTTGCGCTGGCAACTGACTGCGGACCGTAACGAGTGACCGAACCGTATACAATAATTCATCGCTTTCTTTTTTTTTTAAACTCGTCAATACATCACTGGATAAAAATTATTAAGAAGTAATAAATTTATCGTTTGTTTTTCCCGTGATACATTTAAATATATATTTGAAACTGAGAAAATGTTGCAATTTGGGATCAAAAATTCTCGACGTGCGTGGTACGTCTTTCCAGCGCAAAAGGTTAACCACTGCGGACCATAACGAGTGACCGAACAGTATACAATAATTCATCGCTTTCTTTTTCTTTTAAACTCGTCAATACATCACTGGATAAAAATTATTAAGAAGTAATAAATTTATCGTTTGTTTTGCCCGTGATACATTTAAATATATACTTGAAACTGAGAAAATGTTGCAATTTGGGACCAAAAATTCTCGACGTGCGTGGTACGTCTTTCTAGCGCAAGAGGTTAATCACTACGGACCATAACGAGTGACCGTATACAATAATTCATCGCTTTCTTTTTCTTTTAAACTCGTCAGTATATCACTGGATAAAAATTATTAAGAAGTAATAAATTTATCGTTTGTTCTGCCCGTGATACATTTAAATATATACTTGAAACTGAGAAAATGTTGCAATTTGGGATCAAAAATTCTCGACGTGCGTGGCACGTCACTCCAGCGCAAGAGGCTAATGCCTAACCAGCTAGAGAGAAATGGATGCGACGAGTAATAAAAGAGACGAGAGGGATATACATCCACGGGGAGGAAACGCGGGACGGGATGTCGACAGATTGCGCGTTCTATTCGCGGCGTTTGAATAGGAGGCAAGAGAGCTTTTGACGGTGTGCGACCGCTTAAAAATAACCAACCGGTTACCAACCACCACTGACACCTATTCGTAAAACGTACGGCGTGTTCTTTCTGTTCGTCGGTCCTTGCTCGTCAGAGAGATACGTCGAGTCGAAAGTGAAGTCGATGGATCCTCCGGTCGCCTACACACCTCACCCCTCTTCATCAACGATCGACACACGCGCGTTTCTACCCCGTTGGTTTAATGCCAGAGTCCGTCTCGTTCGTCACGAGTGATTAACGATCGACGGAATCGGCCGACGATCTTTCAACCGCGCGACTCCATTACGTCGATCGGGGAAATTTCCACGTGAAACGAACGATGCAAGGTCGCGATACGCGTCGCGAGGATTTATCGCGGTGCCGGTTTCGCCGACAATCTCGTTGATTGGAACTCGGTTCGAAAGGGGCTGCTTAACCACTTGGAGCTGGCAGCTGATTGCGGGCCATAACGAGTGACCAAATCGTATAAAATAATTCGTCGCTTTCTTCCTGAACTCGTCGGTACGATATCGCTGGACTGAAATTATTGAGAAGTTATAGCTGAGAAAATATTATTAATTTTGGAACAAATGACTCTCGACACTGCATGGCACGTCATTCCAGCGCAGGATGTTAAACGCGGTGGGGAAAAATAGGCGCGTTAGCGCGCGCGTTCGTAGCTAACCTTCGACAGATGGATTTCCACTACGAAAATTGCGTATATTTAGATACGGGGATCGAAACACGTGCGTTAGAATTTTAATTCCCTCGAGCGAGATAAGAATCTTAATTCTGGAGCGAGAAGAGCACAAACAAGAATGCTGTTCGTGAAATTTCGCTTTCTTAAATATTGACGAATCGGCAGTACGCGTAAGAATTCTATTTTTAAAACGACAGATGAGACGATTTTATCTCGCGTGGTAGATATTTTAACCACTTGCGTTGGAATGACGTGCCACGCACGTCGAGAATTTTTTATCCCGAAATTGTAATATTTTCTCCAGTTTTAAGTATATTTAAGAAAAATAATTAATTAATTAATTTATTTATTTATTAAGTAATTTATTGCTTCTCAATAATTTCAATTCAGTTCGAGAAGAAAGTGACGAATAATTGTATACGGTTTGGTCACTCGTTATGGTTCGCAATCGGTTGCCAGTGCAAGTGGCTAACCGAATATCGAGAATCAGAAATTAGTGATTCGTGAAAATAACTGATTGTTCAGATAAAAAAAGAAAGTATTTTAGTCGTATACATTATATAATACTATAACAAGGCACCTATCGCGATTATATTCGATAAAATTTAAAACAAATTGCAAGACATATACTGCGTATACTGCGAACTTATCTCCATCATGTATGATAAAACTCATCGAAGTATAGTCAATGATTGAAACATATTAATAACTTACTAAATAAGTTGTAACATCTATACATGTCGCGTTCTCGAGTTGCTTTCGAATTTGACCGCTGTAACCGCGATAATCGCGTGCCCGTACAATGCCAATGATACCTTTAAATTTCGCTTTAGCATATCTAAAATATTTATAAAAATTAATACAATTTACACATAGTCGTTAGCCACTGTTCATTAGAATTTTATCTTTCGAACGAGATAAGGTACACGACTGAGTCAGAATGGGCAAAATCGAAATTAAAAAAAAAAAAAAAGAAAGAAAAGAAAATAAAATGCACGACGACCACAAGAATCGTGAATTACTTCAATCGCTCGATGAAGAGAATAACGACAATAGCGACAACTTGGTTCGACCGAAACCTTGGTTTGCAGCGAAACGAACACCGCGGAATCGCGAGCAGAGAGGCACTTACTTCCGGTACTTTTGTCTAAAGTAATGTCCATTAACGCGAGGTGCTCGCGATCACTCATACGGTCGATGTCACAAGAACGAAAACGTGTATGTACGTACGTCAATCGGCCATTTTTAAACCTGCCTCTCAACTCCGGCCTTCTTACGACACTCTGACGTAAAACACACGTGGATCCTTCCCTGGCCGTTTCGAACGGAGATTCCTAATTTTCCATTATTCGCCGATCGAGGCCGACTTCGATGGAATCGGTTAAGCCTACCTCCATCACGCGATACACCGTAAAAGAATATACATTTTCGGCATGGAAAGGTCGTCGTTGCAACGCAAATACCTCTACAAGTAACGATCCATCGATCTCTATTAACGATACTGCTTGGCCCCCTCCTTCGGATGCACGATCGTCGTTCGATACTTACACGACTCGACGGGTACTTTACTGGCGCGCGAGAGACACCGCTTTTCCCAAAAACCTTGGCCGATATTCAACGATATAGCTGCGCGTATGTGTGTTTGTTTGTTTGTGTGTGTGTGTGTGTGTGTGTGTGTGTGTCGTAGGATCGTTGACTGGAGTGAAATCGGGGGATACAAACGATCGACGTACGAGCAGTGTGCGCGATCACAGATCAGGAAACGAAAGAAAATTGGTGTGATGTGTGTTGTAAGGAAATGTAGAGATTGATTTGGAAGAATTTTGGAATGATGGAAAAGGCCGGTGATGCTCGTGCGGGGAAGGTGCACGGTGGTACACGGTGCACGATGCACGGGTACGCGGCGATAGGTACTACGGTGCGCGACTAAATCGGTTGAGGAGGTACGCGGCTGCTTTATGAGCTCGCCGATCGGCCGTGCGCAAGGAATGCGCGAGGAATGCGCAACGAATGCCGCTGCCGAGCCTCCGGTATCGCGAATCACGATTGGTTCTAATCGGCCCGTGTCGCGGTGTATCGGTAAGAGCACACCGTGTCAGAACGTACTATCTTTTCCTCTCTCGGCGAGCATTTCTGTTCGAATTATTTCAACCGCGATAACTCACGTCGCGATAACTCCGTCCGATGTTCTTGCACGTTCGGCGATCTAAATTTGATTAGTCAAAGAGACGATGATAGCTGAATTTAAAAAGAAGAAAAAAAAAAAAAGAGTGAGGGCACAATTTGCTTGCAACATCCTAACCTACCTTCAATTTTTCTTCGTACGAACACTTCGGGAGATACAAGTAATGATAGAGCTTGATAATGACAATTTTAAAAAAAAAAAGAGTGTTCGAAAATGTTAAATATTTTGGAAACGAAAGACACAATTTAGAAATTTTATGTTCTTACATCGTTACATTTAAAAAGCAGAATTTTTTTTCTCGTACGAATACTTCAGAAGATACAAGTAATGATAGAGCTTGATGATGACAATTTAAGAAAAAAAAAAAAGAGTGTTTGCAAATGTCAAATATTTTGGAAAGACACAATTTAGAAACCTTATGTTCTTACATTGTTACATTTAAAAAGCAGAATTTTTTTTCTCGTACGAATACTTCAGAAGATACAAGTAATGATAGATCTTGATAATGACAATTTAAGAAAAAAGAAAAAAGAGTGTTCGAAAATGTCAAATATTTTCGAAACGAAAGACACAATTTAGAAATTTTATGTTCTTACATCGTTACATTTAAAAAGCAGAATTTTTTTTCTCGTACGAATACTTCAGAAGATACAAGTAATGATAGA